TTCTATTTTTTTTTTGTAGTGCAAACTGTTATCTCAAATAGGATTTGTTGCACAGCTGCAAAATTGTGTGAAACAATTGAGAAAACCTACAAACTAGATTCTGAGAATACAAAGATACTTAAGAAGAATCAGAGGCAATTAGAAAAGGCATATTGCAAAGGGGCATTGTTACATTTAAAAAGTATTGAGGTAATTATTTCAGTGTAATGAAGATATATACCTTTTTTCCTTTTTTTATGTATGTATAATGTCCTGATTATGTTTAGAATATTATAAATAAATATATTGCCGTACCAAGTAACATTTTAATGGATGAGGATAAATATCAGAGGACACAATATACTGATGCAGAATTTAATAATGTAAAACAAAGGTTGGAGAATTTACAACAAAGAGCAAAAAGAGTATGTACTTACAAATGTTATTAATTTGTTGAGATGACCAACAATTATTTCATAAATTTAATTTTATTTGCATGTTTCAGGCTACCATTTTAAATGCGGTATTAAAGGAAGAATTAGAAATTTTGGAGAAGTTTCCAATTTCTGAAGATAGTGTGAATGAAATGTATGAAACTATTGACAATGGACTTAAATGTGTAGATATAAATAATAAGTTATATCAATTAGTTGCAGATTACAAGCAATTTTCCACAGATTTGTTTGGTGCAATATCAGTTTCAGAAAAATCTAAATATAACATGATAGACAATCTTAAGTGCAAAGCAATAGACTTAAATAGTTTATGAAACTAAATAATGCAAGAAGAAAAATTTTATATTTTTCAAAAACAATAATATATGTTCAAAGTAGTTCTTTGGACAGTAATATGTATATATTTAATGTAACATTCTGTGAATGTAAAATACTGTTTATTCATTTTGTATCTTTTATCAATTATTTCTTGTATAATATACAAATAAAATATTTTTTATGATTTTAATACAATCCTCTGCAAGCTATAAGACATATGGAATAACTAATGAACACTTGAATAAACACTTAAACAGAGTAGTTTGATTATGCTAAAACCTGATCTTATCTTATGTGTACTATTTTAAGTTTCTTCTGCAATGTTCAATGTAAAATCGTAACTTAAAATATACAAAAAATAACTCACACAGCAATAATATTGAATTCGTATATTTTAAATTTTCCAAACCCCCTAATAATATAGAAAGTTGTAATATAATATAGATTATAAATAAGAAATTTCTTAAAGATAATTCGATTATATAATCAAAATTTCCTATTTTCTAAAGTGAAAATATCTGAAAACGAGAAATGTTTGTAAAATAATGAAAAATTAAGGATAAGTTTAATAATTATACGATTAATCTACCATTAACTCGTTTCTCTTTCAAAGTAAGGTCACTTACATAGCCCCCTTCTCCAAGAATAAATATAGTGGGGATATGGTTAACAGTGGAAACGCTTTCCAGTAAATCGTATTGAAGAGGGGATTTTGCTCGACTTTAAGTATCAGACCAGTGAAATAATATATTATAAAATAAAATCAAAAATTTTTATATATTTATTTATCACTCTCTCAACAATATCCAAGAAATAAGACTAAACAAGTTTAGAACGAATAAACAGAAACTGATCCAGCAACTTAATTACCCAAAGTATTTCTTTTCTCTTCGGAATTTATTCTTTGCTGAAAATATCTTGGTTATTTTTTTAAGAAAACTATACAGTTTTTGTATAAAAGCTATTGACTGAATATTTTTGGATATAGATTCTAAACTTTGCTACAAAAGATCCTATACGATACAGTTATAAAAATAATATCCTATAAGTAAGAAGGCTTAAGTCGTTGACCTCTATTTCTCCTTGATATCTTTGTCTACAGAAAGAAACGTTATTATTGCATGTTGTCTCTGATAAAATCATACAATTCTAATGAAAAACTGCACATCAAAAAGATAGACAAGAATGTCTATCATAATATTTTCTTTTCATTATTATGATAAATTTTTAATTCATCCTAATAAACATCAGCATTTGAACAAGATTAAAGAATACGAATCGACCCATTGCTGTAATCGAAAATGTCAATAAATGTACAAAATTTGTCGTGTATTTAAGAAAATTATATATAAATTATTAATTTTATGTTTTCATTATGTATATTCAAAATAAAATAGTTTGTAAATGAGCAAGAATCAATAGTATTAGTGGCTGGTTTGTTCTCTTGAAAAATGAAGCTTCTGTATATAGCTGCATTAAGCTTCCTTCTGTTTATACTCATGAAAAAGTATAATAATTTAATTTGTAAAAAAATTAAACATTTACTTAATATTATGATTTTATGGAATTTATTCTTAATTTTCTTTAAGCCGTTCAAAAAGTTTTAGTACCTTTTGTTAGGGATAAATCGATAGTTTGACTAAAAGGTACGCCAATGGTATGAAGTTATGCCTGTTTTCGCGTAGCGTGTTGTGTAGTCCTTTATAAACCGTACGCGGTTAGAGTAGGGATGAAAATGCATGGAAATTTTATGTTCGTTATTACTCATTCATGAATGCATTGTTACATTGATTTCATGCATTCTAATTTAAAAAAAAATAACAATATTTTAAATTACCTGTGATATTGTTAAAAAGAATAATCTTTTTTAAAATATATTTGTGTTTACGTATTACTTACATCAGGTTCGTATGTTTTCCAGTTTTTTCGATAAGTGTCGACTTGTTATAACGTTTATTTTGTAATTTTCAATGTATCCCCCAATAATTTTATATCAATCATTAGTGTAAATATCATTCATATAGCATAATAATTTTAAAGGAAACAAATGTTGATGATGAATCAACACTTTTTATTGATAAACTTAACATTTTCAAATAGGTAATTAAGATGTCAGAACAATTTGTGGGCTGCACAGTTTCTGTAAAATGTATTGAAGAACTTGGAACGTATCAGGGACAAATAGTTGATTTAAACAAAGATTATGTTACACTTTCAAAAGCTTTTTGTAACGGAGTACCTCACTCCTCATCTGTTGTTGTTTTAAGGTAGCATATCTTTTTCTTTTACTTTGAATGTAAATATTAAGCCAATTTAGTGTTCCTTCAGTTTAAATAATTTATGAACTAATTGCATTTAATATTTTTAGTACAAAGGACATTTTAAATGTAGAAATTATATCGATCAATGAGACAGGATCTAATGCAAATGATAATAATCAAACACAAAATAAGGTAACTGTGAAAAGACCTATTGCTAAACGGGCTGGAAGGTCTTTTTCAGAAAGTGTGCCATCATCTACACAAACAACGTCATCCCAAACACAACCTAATTTTAAAAAACCTGACGCTAATGTTCAGTGTTCTACAGAGCAAACTGCCAATGGAAAAGTTTTATTAGGTAAAAAAATAAATAATGCCTCTCAATGATATAAGTTTTAGCAGAGTTAGTTATAGTATTAAGAAATTAAATATGAATCAATTGATAATGATATTTCTTATTCCTATGATAAAAATATGTACAAATGAATCAATTAAAAGCCTTTTTCATATTTTGTAAAGGTACAATATCTTTGAAATAAAATATCTTTTCAGCTGAATCTGCTGGTAAACCAATACAAAAAAGACTGAGTCACAGACAAAGAGTTTTAGAACGAGATGAGCATACATTTGGTACACCAATTGATGAATCTTTAAATCAGGATTTTGATTTTGAGAAGAATTTGGCATTATTTAATAAAGAGGTTTGTTTATAAATATACAATGTACATATAGAGAATAACAGGTTTAGTAGAACTCTGTTGAAAAATCTATATATTTCTGATCAGGCTATATGGCAAGAAATAAATTCTTTGAAACCTGATATGGTCAGGCAGTCTGAAAATAATAGGGGTACTACTGGAAGATATAGACACGATGAAAATATTATTGTTGCTGAACCTGCAGTCTTTAGACAAATAACGGTTCCAAGTGCTGATGAAAAAGAATACGTAACAGATAATGGCTTAGTAATTCCCAGCATAACACTTAATCTTCATCGTCAATTAATGGGAGCAGCAGATCGTTTTGGAATCAGTTGGGAACGTAGAGTATGCATTACAGAATTTATTAAAACACAAGAAAATATTTCTAGTTAAATTTGAATCAATAAAAATATATTAATTAGGTGGAACTCCTTGGTCGTGCTGGTGCAGAAATTATTTTGCAACTATTAGGTGGAAGCCATAGATTAAATCCAAATAATGCACATCAATGGCCAACAGTTGTTGCCCTTTGTGGACCTCATCGTTCTGGTGCTGCTGGTGTCAATTGTGCTAGGCAATTGTCTAGTCATGGTGTTAAAACAATAGTGTTTGTAGAAAATTCTGAAGATGTTTCCCTTTTGCAAGAATTATCTTTATACAAATTGACTGGAAATAAGGTAGAAACTAAAGTTAAAAATTTACCACCAGTGGTAGATTTAATACTTGTATCACTTTGTGACGAAAACTCTCCAAGAATGATTACACCTATAGCAAGATGGGCAAATAGTAATAGGGCACCTATTTTAGCTATTGAACCACCAGCCACAGGCACACCAGGCATTCTTAGTAAATTTAGTTTGCTTGGTGGATTACCAATGTCTCATAGTGTTGATAATGGCAGATTATATTTATGTAATCTTGCCCTACCGAACAAAGTATATGCAGATGTTGGTATAACATACAGGTCGCCTTTTGGACCCAAATTTGTCATTCCTTTGCATTCCAATAATTCTTAGCAAATTTATACAGAGGACGATGCTTCTAATAAAATATTTTAATTTCCTGTAACTTTAATTTTAAGCCTAGCATCTATGAAATAATACTTTTGCAAGCGGATTGTCCGAATTTATTTATATAACAATATCGCATTTAATG